GGTGGCACTTGAAGGGGCGCTCCCCGGTGTGGGTCCGGATGTGGATGGTCATGGCCACGTTGCTCAGGAAGCTCTTGCCGCACTCGGGGCACTTGGGTGGGTTCATCTTCAGCGTCACCCGGGGGAGACCCCCGCCTTGGGCCTTGGGGGCCGCGGGTCTCGCCTGCCTCCCTGGCTTCTCCGCTCGGGGCAGCGGGGTCTTTCTCTGTCTTTTGCGCTGGGGGAGGCACTGCTGGACCAGGCTCCCCTCTTCGCCCTCCTCCTCTTCGGCTACCCGGATCCCGTCTCCTGCTGGGAGGACAGGAAAAGAGAGACACCCACTGTCAAGGCCCGGCTGCAATCTGTGGCACTGCCATTTGGGTCAAGAGTGCAATTCTAGGAAAGCTGGGCCACTCCTAGCCTTGGCGTAAGGTTGCCCAACAAAAAGCACCGTAAGACAGAAAAGCAGCTGGACCCGAGACCAGAAGCCCCACTCCAACCACAGAGGTCTGCATGGCCTTTGGTGGCTAAGAGGCCGCCCTCAACTATTTTAGAAGCTTGAGCACCTTCGGGGGGAGCCGGGCTCCCAGCGGCCGCTGGTCCTGATGGCTGTTGACCACCCCTGGATCCTAGTCCTTGGGTTTGACCTCAGGGCTGGACAGCAGCACCAGCAGAGGCTGTCGCTGGCAACTCCCAGCCTGGGAGTTTGGAAGATGCAGCCGCCTCTTTGCTGCCCAGGCAGAAGCCAGGGCAGACGGGCTCCTGGCCTGATCCCACCAGGGTGCTTTGGAGATTCTGATGGGGAGAGTCGGGGCTTCCTTCAGTCGGAAACTCGGGACAAAAGGATTCAGGATGGGCCGCGGAGGCAGCGTTTTCCATGCCAAGGCGCCTCTGCCTATCATGGGGCAGGAGGGCAGGCACAGGAGGAAGCCCAGAGGGCAAGACTTGGGAGACCCCAGCCCTCCCCGTGGGAGGTTGGCATCCTGCCCTCCACAGCAGGAAGGGCGCAGCTCCGCCAACTTTCAGTTTCCCTGGCTGTCTCTGTCCAAACGCAGCCTTTCCGGACTCACGTTTGTGCAACCGAAGGAAACCAGGAGGAAGCTACAGACCTGGTTCACACATCCTGCTAAGATGAACCATGGTTTCCAATTCACCTTGGTTGGATTCGGAGAACACCTTAAACTAAAAGCAAGCCACTCCATGACTTCAGCCGATCTGTCAGCCCAGTCGTGTGGCTTGTTGCCAAAAATCAGGGGCTCTGTTGGAAACCCAAGGTGGTTTTTTTCCCCCAATCTGAAATTCACAAATAGAAGAACGTTCAGCCCTCAGATCAGGAGAAACAAGACACCTGCCACCCTCTTTCTCCTTCCGGCCCCACACAGCCCTTGGGGTGGCCTCCTCTGGTCCTCACGCCACTTCAGCTCAGCCCGCCCGCCCAAACCTCTTGCCTTTTAGTGTGCTGCTCGGAGCTGCCCCGGGCCTGGAAGAGTCGGCATCCCTCCCCACCGGTCCACTCACCCAACCAGGGGCTCTGGGGCCTCCTCCACTCGGGGGATTCCAGCGGCGCAGCCACACACGGCTGCTCTTCATGCTCTATTTTGCAGATCAGTTCGGGCTTTGTGGCCAGATGCCCTGTTGGCAGCAGATGAGAGAGAGCAGGGCACCTCCCTGGCATTCATTCCACAACGAACCTGGATGCTGTGGGAAGGAGGGAGGTGCCCCTGGCCACCCCTCCCCACACCTGCCACCACTTTTTGTTCCCTCAGTTTGGTGCCTTCTGCTGCACGGACTACAATACCCATAATCCTACACCAGCATCATCCTCTCCTATTGCTCCCGTTACTCTCTCTGTCTAGAGCAGTGTTTCTCAACCTTGGCAACTTGAAGACGTGTGGACTACAACTCCCAGAATTCCCCAGCACACGTCTTCAAGCTGCCAAGGTTGAGAAACACTGCTCTAGACTATATTTTTATCAACTGGATGACGCTGTGCAGCAAAGTGCATACAGTTAATGTAGGGGCCAAGATCTGAAGAACCTCAGGACTCCTTCATCTAAGGTGGCTTTCTTCTCCAACCTGCGCCCTCCCAAAAAGGTGCTGGACCACGACTCCCACCCTTCCCAGACAGCAAGGCCCTTCGCCTTGGAGAACCAGGTAGCATTCAAACTCCAGTTTGATACCTGCACAACAAGAAGCTGGGAATTTGGGGGACTGCACTGGGACACCTGTGCAGGATGCCTTTGGGGAAAGCTAAGTTATTCCCACCAATGGAGTTTAGCCCAAATTGTTCGGCAGCACCTCCAAAGATTCTTCCTGGCAACTACTCTTCTCTCTCTCAGACTCCTGGGTGGCTTTTATATCATTCCCGTTTCCATCCTGAATCTATCACAAAATAGTTGTCCTCATTTCTGCTAACTTTAAGATGCTGCATGCACCATAAGCTAAATGAACATTCATTCAGCCAACCAGCCAACAGGAGAATCCAAATAATCCATTCTGCCCCACGATGGCTGGTCCTGGAGTAACCAAAATCCCTCAACCTCATTCTATGTGATTGACTATGTGCCATCAAGTTGTCGTCTCCATGACATCCTCATTCTATGCAGAAAAGAAAACAAATTAACTGCTATATTCCCTGCTGCATGTTTTTCAGTACATGTATTCACGTGAATGTGTTTTGTGGTTGGCCTCCCAAATCTGAGTGGTGGCTAAATAAAAAATGGAGGGAAGGTGGATTGTAAAAAAACTAAACCAAGAACTGAAATCCTTCACAGACTTCCCAGCTGCCAAGCTACCGTTCCTCTGCGGCATTTAAAAGCCCCTCCGAGTTATGAAGATGAAGTGATAGCGTGCTAGCAATTTTGCAACAGGCGTCCCCCCCAGTATCTGTAATCACGGTGGGACGTTGCTCTAGTCCTGGACGGCAGGAAGAAACGAGATACCAAACTTCTACTGATTGCGGGGTGGGGGTGGAGAGAAAGGATGGCGGCGGTCCAGGGCCCACAAGGTAGGTCTGAACAAGAGTCCTGCCAACAGAGGAGCAGATCTCGCATGAGATCTGCACAGCAACAACTGAAAGGAAAATATCCGAAGTACCGCAATTCTGGGGGCAGAGGCAGAAATAAGCTGACTCAGGTCTCCAGAACAAAGGTCCGAAATCAGTCCAGATCCAGACTCAGTCTCAAACCGGTGCAAGAGCTCTCAGAAACAGCAAAAACTTCAGAGGGATGCCTGGTGGGGGAGGAGGGGGGAGAGCAATCCTTACCCAGTGAAGCCACCACCTCGTAGTTTTCAACCATCACGGCTTGGTAGAGGTCCTTCTGCCACTCTGCCAGGTCTGCCCACTCCGCTGGTGAAAAGTACACCGCCACGTCCTCAAACATCACCTATGGCAGAAAGGAGGGGACTCAGCTCAGGAAAGCTTCTGCCATCGAATCCAATTTGGGTGTCTAGACGAGGCATGACCAGACCCCGGATTTCCTTCCTCTTTCAAGGACGCTTTCGCCAAGGGCTACAAAATCGCTAGGGCCCGGCTAGCGCACAGATCACAGCTGAGACCGAATGCCAGGATGTCTCCCTCTGCACGAAGCCCCAGCACTAACATGCCTCCGCAGCGTGCGACGGCTCTGGCACCGAACAGATTCGTGGGCGCATCCAATCCATGAAAGGAGGCAATATCACCTGTCAAAACCTTTGTGATTACTTTCCTCCAAGTTTGGAATGACGGAATATTATTATAGATTAAGGAAATGAGGGCACTCTCTTCTAGGCAAAACCGCCTGCGATAAAGTTCTTCTGTTTCTTGATAAATATGGTAAAAGGCTGAGTTTTTGCACTGCCCGTGTCCCATTTGAATTTCTGCCCAGGACCGAAAACTGGATAAACAGGGCAATGCCAAATATTTAGGGAACGTGGAGCTTCCCCCGGCCCCCAGTCATGGATTCATAAGAATCTGTACTTCCCCCAATTGGGGCAACTAACTAGTTCATTGTCTCAGTGAAGTTACTTGCTAAGTGCTAGGGCAGAATTACATGGAGGTGTCCACAAAGTCACTGGGAACTAAGCAAACCTTACCTACTTACTTCTGAAAGTTATCCTAGCTAAGCTGAAGCCAAGAAAAATGCGTGCTATTCCACCCTGTCCAGGGTTGCCAACCAGTAGCCCAATGACCAGGTGGCAATGCCACAGGGTGCTCCTCAGAGTCCTCCAGGCCTCTTCTGGAATTACAGCGCTGCCTCAGTTGCACTGCCTGGTGCCCAGGTCTCTCGGGTCCACTGCCCCTGCCAGCCTTCCCCGTGCCCAGGCAAGGGCTGGCTATCCAGCCTCCCAGAGACCCTCGGCGCCTTTCACTTTTTCCCTAGTAAAAAATACTTGAACGCTGCAAAGCCCACGGGAGCAGCGAGTTTACCCCCCACCTGGTAGGCTCAAAACGGTCAGCGATCCAGTCTTGTCTTCCTCCTCCCCTCCGTACCTGGAGTGGACCCAGACCAAGGGCCCTTCTCCCCTCCCCGGGTGGCCCTGGGGCCTCTTGAGCTTCTGTCCAAAGGGAGCAGCGTTTCCCCCCCAGCTCACAGACCCTTCCTTTCCAATCCTGCCCCCTCCAACCGGGGGGGTGCAGTCTGGAAACTTCCCAAAGTCCCAGCTGCGAGGCCCCCGGACTGACCG